CGCTCTGCGCCGCGGTGGTGGTGCCTGCGCCGGCGGCCCCGCTCCTCTCCCCGGCGATGGGGACTTCGGCCGTCGCCGCCGGGGAAAATCCTTTGCCGCTGGCACGGAGCTGCCCCTAATCGGTGCGGAAGGAGTTATATTTCTGTAAAGTCTGTCAGCCTACAACGGCCCTGCGCTAGAAGCCCGTCTGCCTGGCGTGAGCGGAAAGAAAAGTGTTTTGTTTTCACGCCATTCATTTTATCTGCTCTTTCGCAGCACCGTGTTTTAATGTGTTCAATTAATTACCGTGTCGTAGGTTAGAAAAAATAACGAGTGTTTAAAAGTTTATACTGAGTCATTCCTCTGCAGATGAACCTATGACTGACTCATAATCTGAGAACTGCAGCGGCTTGTGAAATAGGAAGGTAAGGCATTTACATCTTGATTTATTTGTATCTTCAGGTGTCTTAAGAGCTGAATTGTCTGCGGAAAAACAAGAGAAATGGTATTAATGCTGAGAGGCACAGTCTCATGTTCTGCCGATCTGAGCTTGTGTGTGACATGAAAGGCCGTGTGTGCACCTCTGTGTGCATCTTTACTGTGTGTTAGGATGTTTTTCATCTTTTTTCTCTTTCTGTAGTAGTAAAATGTGGGAAGTTCCAATGATACAATTTGAAATTTGCAGTCTCGTTGGGTCACTGACTTCTCTAGCTTGTTGAGATCTAACTAAGCCTTGTACATTGTAATTCGTGCCGGTTTTTTCATTTCTTCAGCAGAACTGTGTATTTTTCCTTGCAGGTTTGTCCCATAGAATGCACGTAGCCTTATTGTGCACTAACCTGAACTTGCATTCATAGACCGAGAAGGAGTTTAGTGTATGGCTCGAAGGTGTACTCGCGGTATTTAGCTTAGACAAACAAAATAGTATAATTGGAAATAGTAAAAATCTGTATTTAAAATAGCTACTGACTTGCAGAGAAGCCTGGATTTAAAGGCTGCACTGATTGTTAGATCGAAAGAGATTGTAACATACACCGTATGTTGCTCTTTAAAATGAGCCATTTGGCTAAAAGAGTCTGTAAATGGCAATCCATACGCACATAGATGTAGATGTTATTTACTGTGATTAGGGAGAGAGTTTTTGTTTTAAAACGAGAAATACTCGAACATTTGGACTGAATCGAGAGGGTTTTTTATGGCTGAACTGGGAAACCCCTTGTCATAAAGCTTGATAACGGAAACATTGATGTATCATGAGTTTGGCATTGCAAGCAGACGGTACTATAAGGTTATAAAAGTTGCTTTGTTCCAACATGAAAATGGTAGGTGTTTTACTGAAATGCTACTTGATGAGAAGCTTTCAATAATAGCTGGACCCAGCGTATAGAAAGATGAAGTGCATTCACTAGCAAAGCAAATTAATTCTAATCAAAAGAGGGTGCTAAATGACTCAGTCTTTATGCTTTCCTGAAGTCCTTCTGCAATTAAGCTTGATGATACCGATTTTGAGAAACCATTCTTGTATGCCTTCAGAGAATTCGATTATCATGTAAGCATATTTACTGTTGGTACCTTGGAAAACTCTGTAAGATGGCAGTAGTTGGCACCAGTGAGAAAAAATTCTTGAGGAAGTCTTACCAGTCCATGCTGATACAGTTTGTTTTCTAAAATGATTTCAAGATCTTGTTGTATTTTAGATCTTTACATTATTCTTGTCTGTAATGAAAAGTTTAAGTGAGAGAAGAGGAACATGTTTTTTTCAATACTGAAGTCCAGCTGTTCTCTTAGTAGATATGGCAATGCTGAAAATATTAAAAGCCAGGAATCTTAATTTTTAATGTTTGTTGTTAGACCACTGGAACATAAATAAATTGATAAGTAGATGACTGTAGTTCTGCAGATGAAAAGGCAGTTTAAAAATAGGAATGACTTAAATGTACTTCAGTATCCTAAACTGGCTTGGTATGAATAGATACTGCAAGAATAACACGTTTTGATCTCTGATATCTTAGATGATGCAATAACTGCATTTCATTAGTGGTTTTTTTTTTTTTATTATAATAGTGTTCCTTAATTGAAGGTGCCGAATCTTATGATGTCTGAAGACTGCTTATTACAGATTGGTTTCAGATGTCTGTGCTGTTGTGCACAGTTCCTTTAAAGAATTGCCAAGGCTTAGTGTGTTGGTTTTTTTTTTTTTAATGCCTGTGGGTGGGTACTTTCTGAATATGATGCTTGTATTTGAAACCTCGTGGCATTTTTGGCATATGGCTCAGGAGCACCAAAAGTGGTGGGAGAGTGAGTGAAATTGGAGATTTCAAGATGTGGTATGGAGAAAAGAAGCCAAGGGAAGGAGAGTTGTGTATTTTTGTGAACAGAATAAAGGTGTGACTGTAGCACACGAGATAGTGCTGTAGGCACGCTAGGTTTTATCTTATACTTTTTAACCTGTGGTGATGAAGTGTTGACATAGAAACTACAGCAGTGAAGGGCTGGCAAAGAGAATATAACTGGTGTCCCTGCTGGCTTGCGTCCTGGAAGCCCATACCCTCATAAATGCATAGTTTAGAGTTAGTATATGTTTGTTTTGGCAAATCGTAAACACATTTCATTTTTTCTATGCCTTTTTTTTTAAGGTAGAAAGAGAAAGGACTAGAGAATTAGGAGGAAAGGGGGGGGGAACTTACAATGAAAGATCACGAGGTGTCTGCAAGTAGGAGGAGGTGCTGTCTTCTAATGGGAAAGAAGAGAAAAGGAAAAAAAGACAAAAAAGCCCCTAGAAAATCAGCATGGAAAGTATGCAATAGAAAGATCTTAGAAGTTAGGGAGAAAATAAGGCAAAAGATTATTTGGCTTTGGGAATTGTGTGTGAGAGAGATACATATTGCTATAGTCTTTGAGGGTGTTCTTGTTTTCTTCCTGGAGATATTTTCTACTGGAGCACTGACAGCAAACTATCATTGCTGCTGTGACTTCAATTGCTACTGACTGTTGGCTTTGTAACTAGGTTAACAGGGTAAGTGTCTCTAAAATTATATACAGCAACTGTAGGTCACTAATCCTCTCCACCCCCCAAAATATGTTAAGCCTTTGATTTCCATGCTGTTGTTGTTCCCTGCTGGTTTACTCTGCATGTGTAAAGTGTGATTTTTAGTAGAATTCCAAGTTCTGCAGTTCAGCTAGTCAAGGGCAGCATGGGAAGGGAAGTCTCAACACGTTCGTGGATGCAAAAGTTCAGTATTGGACATGTGTGACTGCCTCCATCCCTGGCTCCCTCCTTATACTGACAATTGGGGTGTTGGGTCCTTTGACATCAAGACTGAATTTTTGCAAATACAGGCATTAGAACTGCAATGGGCACAGCAGGAAGGCTTGAAGTTGGAACGTTTCGTAGTTCCAGCATTTTATATAGTGTCATAAAATGATCATTTATGAAATAGATTTTTCTGATGTATAGAGGAAGCATTCTGTAGATTATTTACAATGATAAAAATTGCTCATAATTCTGTAGTATAGTTTAAATGCTCTGAAGTGAAGATATCCTTTCATATGCAGGATACGTAGCAAATGCTTCAGTCAAAAACCTTAGTGAAAGAAGTCATGAAACTTCTATTATACATGCTTTAATGATGACTGTATGGAAGCTCATAGGTAGAAAAAATTAACATTCGGAGTAACCTGAACTTTTGTCTGACTTTGTGGTTTCTGCATTAATATGAAAAACACCTTTTTGTAAATAAAGTAAGATATGCCCACTCAGGACAAGCTCGAAAAGCCATGAGTCTTTACAGCTTTCTTAGGTGTCTAGCAAAAAGAGTTATTTTGCTTTGGTCTGTCTTGAAAAACATGTTGCAGATGCTACGGTAAGATAAGAAGTGCCTTCCTGGCTGCCACTTCATTCCTGCAAGCTTTGACATCTATCAAGAAAGAGAAGACTCCATTGAAGATACCAGTGTAAAATCCAGGAGACCTGGAGGCTGTTTTGTTTTGTTCCTGTAGGTGTGTATACTGTAAGTCATTCAGTTAGGGCCAAATCGACAAGGGGCTTTGATGTCAGTGTGGAGCGATGTGACATCATGCCCAAGTCCCAGGAGTAGAAGGGGGATTCCAATCCCAAATTTCCTACTTCCCTGGGGATTATTTTCATCAACAAGCCACAGGCCAGTTAAACGTAGTGTCACTTCCTTCTCTTGAAACTCTTCTGCTATGCCAGGAATAATCAAAACTCATTGTGCCTGAGAAACAGAGCAAGAGGAAGCATGATGTCTCAGTCAAGTGGTTAGGACAGTTACCAGGATGAGGAAAGACACAGAGTCCGCCGATGCTTCTTCCACTGCTGTTTTGTTTATTGTTCTCTGGTGCATTTGAACTTGATCTTGAGATGCCTGCTGAGGTGATCAGCCTTGTCAAGATAGATGTTTCCTTAAGCGTAGAAGATGTGCTGGGGAAGAAAAGAATACTGATGCTTGGGTGCTGCTTGGGTTAGGTGGTAGCTGTCTGGGAGTTCTGAGAATAACTTATGCAACTGGTGTCTTATGTGTGTCAGGCTTTTGCCTCCATATACAGACCATGGTCTATAATAAAATGGGAATAGTGTCTCTTTCCTACTGTCTGAGGACATAAAAATGATGAGGTGCTGAGACCCAGCAGGGCAGTACAAGCATCATCTGTTGATAAATGAAATGAATTGCAGGTGCTGTGTAGAGGCATTCTGTTCTGTCTCTGCAGTGCTGTACCATTCTGCACCGTCAGCATCGTGGGACAGGAAACAGTATTTGCTTCACACTCTTCCATTGTTGCATACAGCAAACATGCAGTGCTATATGAAGCTGAGCATACATGACAGAATTTGTCCGTGATAGCTGTTCTGGTGCTTGTACTTGTTCCCAACTTCCTGCTTTCCAACATCGTTCTAGAAATGTAACCATTTTTTCTTACTCTATAGAACCAGCTCACACGATAAATATGCCTAAAATAACTGTCTAATAGCAAAGCCCAGCTCATAAACCAAATTTTGGCAACGTAAATGGATTTTGTTTTGTAAGCTCATCCATGTCCTTGTGAGAGGGAGATAATTAGAACAATTATTAGAGGGTTTTATAATGGGGATGTTGTGTACTGTACCAGCTTGACTCTGCCCTCTTTCTGTCTTTCCACAGAGAGGAACCTTCTGAGAATAGGTTTCCTTGAGTGTTGTGGCTTCTGTTTATTTAATGACTCATAGATGTAAGTCTTGATTTTTGCATAGGAAGTATAGCCTTAAAATTTTATTCAACTTGTTTTCATCACCTTTAAGCCATCTCAAGTGAGTCCTCTTTCTGTATTTTATGCTCTTCAGCTACTAATGGAACTCTCTGGTCCATGCTGTGCTCTTCTTCCATCTTGTTTGGCCGAACAGTATAAACGGTCTTAATTTCTCAAGCTG